GGTAACGAGGGGCTGCGCTCCTGAGTGAGGGTGCCGCTGTGTGAGAGCTTGGAAAAGACTGGCTCCGAGGACATGAGGGGATAACTGCCCAGGTGAGGAGAGAGCCACGCCGCTTTGCCAGAATGGAGATCCCTGCAGCCAGGTGAAGAAGACAGCCACATGCTTTTGGTGGAGTGCGGACCCCTGCAGCTTTGGTAGAAGAGGCCCACGTGGCTTTTGGATGCCCCCTTTGGCCGCGTGGCCTGGAAAGCAAGAGACTTTGACTGGAACTGGGTACAAAGAACCCTTGCCAGTGGACCATGAGAGGGTACCACAGTACTTTGGATTAACTAGAGAGAGATCCTGCCTGCACTGTGACACAGCTGACGGTGCCAGTGGCCTGAAACAGACCTGTGCTCTTTTCCTGATTTACGGCACCCGGAGTTGGGACAGTGGGAGAAGGGAGAGCTGTGTGGGTGTAGGTGTATACCCTAAAGGACTTTGCTATTTTAGTGGAGGCGTTAGGCCTGAATAGCATTAAATAAACATTTTGTTTCCTTTTCACAAATCTCTGGCATTGAGAGATGTCTTTCCAATTGGCGGTGGACAGAAGAGCCCAGTAGGTATTAGTGTTTTGTTTTTGGGAGGGGCCCCTGTTGTATAGCAGTTTTTGGCATCCCTGGGTGGGCCAAATATTGTATTGCCCCCCCTCGGACCTCTTGTTCGGTAACACTGTCATTCTTTAGATTTTTTTGAGCTTTGTCCTGGGATGCCACCAAGTTACTTGGAATTAGTTTGATGTCTTTGAGAATTGATTTTTAGCTTTGTTAGAGGGTGTACAGACTTCCGCCGTCTTATGAGACAACAGGAGATCATCTTTGCCCTGTGTCTGGTACTGTGTGAACTATTTGCTGAGCCATGCCAGCCCGGAGGACTTTTTCTGCTTTTTTTAGTGGCTCTTTCCCTGGCCTTGGTAGTTTTGTCACATGCCCAGTTCAGAACTGAGCCAGAGGCTCAAAAGACCTCTGGGCAGATCTCTGGAACTCCCTGTGGAGATTTCTCCTCCCTGGTACTTGGTTCTGCAAAGAGGCTGCCTGGGTGCCCCTGCATTTTGATCCCTATTTTCTCAACTTAGCGAGAACACTGGTCTCTGTTCAGATTCCCTCCTCATGCGTAGATTCCTTCTATACTGGAAGCTCCTTGCGGGTAGCAAGCTCAGGGCTTATCTTCTCGGCTTCCTCTGTCTCAGGGGTCACAGACATATGGTGCCTTCTGTCCAACCTCTGAAAAGTGTTTTTAAAGTATTTTAAATGAATAATGGATATACATCTAAACACTTTTGTCCTGCATGGTTTTCTAGCTGTTTTAAGGCAGGAGGATAAATCTGTTCCATATTATCCCACCCTGGCTGGATGAAGCCCTGGGTCTAGATTTTAAGATGATAAAAATTGTCCTAATTTCTTCTTAGTTAAATGTCTAAGTTTATTGAAGAATAAGTATGAGAAACTAGATAATATACAGTTTGTTGTAGCATGGATACTTACTTAAGAGTTCTAGATTAATTTATGAAGAATTATCAGAAATTAGAAAAAAACATAAATGTGAGAACCAGGCATGGATCCTGAATTTTTATTGTATCGCTCAAACATGAGAGGACCCTCATTGTCATTGTAAAACTAAAACTGCTCTAAAACACAGTCTTTGAAAAACTGAAACACTACAAAAGGGAAAGAAAGTAAAAGAAAACTAAAAATAAAGGGAAAAATCTTGAAAGCAGCCAGAGAGAAGTGAGGCATCGCCTACTTGAAGTTACAGAAAACTGTGAGACCTGGAATACCACCTGTTGTACGTAGGTCAGAGGCAGTGGCACCGCATCTGTCAAGCGCTGAGAGAGCAGCGTGTCGACATCACTGAAAGGCTGTTTCCCTTCATCGTGCAGCACTGCCGACACCTGACGTGTGGGTTTCTCCACACCAGCCCATCCTCCAACTCTAAGCAGACACCAGCGGGGTGTCCTATGCTTTAACACAGTTCTCATCCTAACTGCCTGGAGCCAGCACAGACCCCTCAGGGCCCAGGCCCATGTGACGTCCCCTCCCCTATTTCTGATGCGAGTCCAGGTGGCCACCTGCACTTTTGATCAGCAGGCTGCAAGTCAGAGGTACCCACAGCCTCCTCCTTAGATGCAGAGGGGTTTCCTGGAGCTGCTCTCAGGACTAGGGACACACTTCCTTAGGTTTGCAGGCTCATCATAAAGGATGTAATGCAGGGACTGGCAGATGGAGGAGCTGCACAGGGTCAGGCCTGGGGAAGGGCAGGAAGCTTCTGTGCCTTCACTGGGGGCATCTATCTCCTGCTACCTCAGTGTCTCACCAACCCAGAAGCTCCTTGATTTCTTCAGGTAGCATTTTCATGGAGGCTTTTTTTGTGTAGGCATGGTTGATGAAATCATTGGCCACTAGTATTAACTCACTCTCTAGACCCTTCCCTTCCACAGAGGTTAGTGTTGGGGAGCAGGATGGGACTGAAAGTTCCAACCCTCTAATCACAGGGTTGCATCCCCTAGCAACCAGCCCCTTATCCTTTAGGGCTTTCCAAAAAGTCACCTCATTAATATAAACTCAGGTGTGGTTGAAAAAGGCTTGTTATAAATAACAAAAGATGCTCTTCTTCTCATCCTTGTAATGCAGGAAATTCCAAGTATCTTAAGAACTCTTCACCAGGAACTGGGAATGAAGACCAAATGTATATTTCTTATTAGATCACAAACTGCAAATTCTGTATCTGTCAGAGGTATCTGTCAAGAAGGAAGTAAGATAGTAATGTTGTAGATATGGAGTGTTCCAGTATTTGACAAAATCCAACAAACAGTGCTCATAATAAAACATCTCAGCAAATTAGAAGAGAACTACTAGAACTTGATGAATGACATACACACAAGCCCCATAGCTAACATGCTTACGGGTGGAAGACTGAATAATTTCCACCTAAGACAGGGAATAAGGTAAGGATGTCAGCTCTTGCCACCCTAGAAAACACACTACTGGAAATTCTAGCTACCACAAGAAGATTAAAAAAAAAAAACCCACAGAGTTTGAAAAGAAATAAAACTGTATTTGCAGATGACATGGTTGCCTATGTAGAAAATCCCTAGAAATGGATTTTCAATTTCTAAAACAACCTCTTAGAGTCAATAAGTCATTTTACCAAGTTTCCAGAATATAAATCAATACAAGAAAGCCAACTGCATTTCTATATGCTGGCAATGAACATGTTGAAAGTGAACTTAGAAGGTCACTACCATTTAAAATTCTGGGGTGTAAACCTAACAAAACACACACAGGATCTGCGTGTTGAAAACCACCAGGGGAAGAGGCCTAAGCAAATGAGGAAAACACTCACATCCGTGGATCGGAAGACTCGGCACCATGAAGACATCAGTTCTGCCCAGTTGGATGTCTGAGTCCAATGCAACGCTTATCAGAACTTCAGCGTGGCTCTTTGTACAGATGGTGAGCTTATTGTATTTTATATTTATATGAAAAGGCCAAGATCCTAGAAGAGCTGAAAAATCTTGACAAAGAAAAATGAAGTTTTGTTGGCTGTGAATCCAAAGTTTTCCAACAAGGTATATTCAGAGAAGTTAAATATTACGTTTCTGTGTAAGATGTAGAAAGTCGCCAAAGTCCATTGGCTCCAACGTAAGAATAGAAAAAAGACGGGCAGCCTACAAAACCTCCAGGGAGCGAGGTCTCAGGGAGGGGAGGGCACTGTGGAGTGGGAGGAGAGAGAATACCCCAGGCTGCTCTGAGCACGGAACCACGTCTGAGGTCCCTGGCACTGTTTCCTCCAATGGGAGAGGAAGGCAGAGGCTCCAAAAAGACACGGTCAGAAGATCTCCTTTTGGTCGTCCGCACGGGCAATTCAGGTCCAGCCTGCCCCAAACTGGGTTCCTTGCTCCTCCTCCTCTGCTGGGACCTTTGTCACATCTGTGCTTCTGATCTCAGTAAATGTCACCGTCATCTTCTCAGGTCAGGTAAGCCTGAAACATGTTGGCCATCATTCTCCCCTTTGTCACCTGCCTCATCCAACCTGTCTCCTAGAGCTGCCAGTGCCATCTGAAACTTTCCCCTTGAACCCACGCCCTCTTCTGGCGTTGTGTTACTACCCGGAGGACAAATCCTAGCCTCATGTTCTGATCACCAGGTCTGCCAAGCGCACCTGTCCGCGCCCCACCTAGCCTCCAGCCTGCAGCCAGGTACTCTCCCTAAAGCTAGATTCTGGGCCAGGTCCTGCCCAGCGCTGCACGCTGGTCCTCCCTGACCTGCCTCCTCCCGATCTGGTCTCTCCCGCCCCACCTCCTGCTACTTTGTAACCAAGGGATTCCAAACTGTTCTTGCACGTACTTGTGCAAACACTGGAAGCTATTCCCACTTTTCTTCCTCTGATAGTTCTCAGGCACTTACCGACGTTCGGTGTGAGGAAACGTTACTGCTCAGGGCAGCCTGCGCCCCTCGCGTGTTCGGCCCCTGCACTCCGTGGAACGTCATTTTAGTAGCACTTGTGCTGAAACCGATTTCATTGTGCCCACGACCCATCCGATCGCCTCAAGAGCCATCTACAACCAAGGGGCCCTCGCCGAAGCGGCCGAATCAAAACTGCCCTTTCTGATGCGTGGCGTGGGCCCGGCTGTCCTCCCACTCGCATCTGCCTGTCTGTTCTGGCTGGTGACACACGGTTGACGGAAAGTCCAGCTCGGGGCGCTCCCCGCCCCCCCCCCCCGCCTTGATTTCCTGGCCGAGAGACTGCGTGCAGGCTGCTCGAGTCTTGGGTCCGAGCGGGGCGCCTCCCTTCTCGCTCCCCGGAGCCCCAGGACTGCTACTTGGCTCCGCTGGACAGGACACGGTCCCCGGGGCGACTGCGGCGGCTGCTCGAAGGTCCGGGGCTCCGGGCACGCAATGCGCCTGAGCCCGGCGGTGTCCCCGCGGGGAGGTGGCGGCGGCGGCAGCGCGGGACCTCGGTGCCCTGGCCTCGCGGACATGAGTTCCCCGCCGCGCTTCAGGTGACGGTCCCAGCCCTTTCGCCGCCCCCCCAGGACTCAGCTCCCCTTACAAGCTCTCTTCCTCCCGTATCTTGGTTGTACACGCAGCGCGGGGGCTCTGTCCACGGCCCGGCCCGGCGTCCTTCCTGCGCCCGGTGAATGAAGCGCTGCCACCTGTCCCTGAGCCCGAGTCCTCCTCCCCTTTTTCCTGGGACCCCGTGGCCCAGTGAGCAGCCCTGTCTCTTTCCTGACCGAGGTTTCTGGGACCAAAAGTCGCGCCCCTGCTTTCTGTTCTGACTGCGGTGGGTCAGCCCTGCTTGTGTGTGTGCTGGGGGCTGGTGCTGGGCGGGGGTCTCCGGCCGGGGTCTCGGACCAGGGCCGCAGGCAAAGCCCGGGCCTTCCTAGCATCAGGCCGGCCCAGGAGCCCTGCCTCCAGGCCATCCCCGCCGCCACTGGGCCAGGGTCTCGGCCTCTAGTTGGAGGAGAAAGCGCCGTCCCCTTGTCACTGTTCTTTCTTTTTCTGTTTCAGCCCGTGCCTTTCGTGGGCAAGAATCATGTGCATCTTCCTCCTGCCATTTGTCTGGTCGGGTTTTGCTCCTCGAGCCAACTATAAAGAGGACCTTATTTCTGGAGAAACTGAGTCGCATATGCACAGGTACAGGTTTGCCTGAGTCGGGGGGAGAGCTGGGGGCGAGGGGCTTTCTCCACTTTGGAGAAAATAGCATTAGAAGCATGCACAGAGCACATCCTGCTAACAAGGGCTTCGTTCTCCAGGAGGGCTCGGCAGCCTCTTCTGCCTCTGTCTCACCCTGTCCATCTCTCTCTCTCCATCTCTCCCCATCTCTTTCACTTTCTCTTTCTTTCAGCAGGTTTAATTGGTCTCACCTGACCCCTCTTGAGCTGAAGAACCGAACTATGGGACTTCAGACAGACAGTGCAGCTGAGAGTACCCCATACTTCACACTGGAGGGGCACAAGTTCCTGATCTTCGGGGGCTCCATCCACTATTTCCGGGTGCCCAGGGCGTACTGGAGGGACCGCCTCCTGAAGCTGAAGGCCTGTGGCTTCAACACTGTCACTACGTGAGTGCCAACTCCCATCCTGCCCTCCGGGAGTTTGCTGCCCCACTGGAGCTCATGGCCTTGTGTCTGGGCTCCGAGCTGCTTTGAGGAGCCCGGCCTGAGGACTGACCTGCTGCTTAGTCATGTCCATCCAGCATGTGTCTTTTATGCTCAAGGGTTACTTAGAGCTCGTAGTTACTGAGACAGTTCTTGTTAATGTATATGGAAATGAGCCTGCAGAGGTGTGATAGTCCCATCAAAATGAATGTGTAAGGACACACTAGTGTCACAAAAGTGAAGTTCAGCGGAGTAAAGGGAATGAACACTGTAGCTGGCAGATGGGACAGGACAGGCCGACAGGCCCAGCTCCACCCCCAGCTGTCACCCCACAGGGCCTGGGGTCGTCCCCGGAAACTGGGCAGAGTGGTGCCTGCCTCGCATGGTTGCGATATGATTACATGGGACGAAACCCTAATCACGTTTCTCTGGAAACGCCCTCTGCTGATTGCAGCACGCATTCACTCAGCTGTGGTGGCAAACAGAAACAGGAGCCCAGCTTGGTCCAGCAGAAGGGTTTACACGTGAACTTGACATGATTGAATAAAAGTACATTTAAATGATAAATGTAGCATGGTATTTAACATAATCGTGCACTTGATAACATGTATTTAATTTAGGGTTTCCTGATGGCTGGGCATTTTCTAGGCATTTTCACCAAAATTGCCTAATCCTCACAGCTGCCTGGTGAGAGGGATGGTTTAAAAGCCAGAGCACACAGGGCCCAGCCATCCCAGCAGCTCCAGGAGGGGCGACCGGGACTGAGGCTGAACCCAGGTCTCACAGAGGGCGGGAGCTCCCATCCAGTAAAAGCCTTGCCCAGAGCAAAAACTGCATTTGAATTAGGAATGTGGCATTCCCTTCATAACAGATCTATTTCCAGAAATGTCTTGAAATTGAAAAAATTGGGAGTCAATAAAGGTGAGTTGAAGGGAGGGCCAGAGGAAAAAGGTGTGTGGAAAGGTGCACCGTGGCAGCTGCGTGCAACAGGGTATGCGGGTGCCAGCCGGGGAGGGTTGGAGGAAAGGCAGGGACCCGCCCTCAGTGTACCATCCTGCCATCGCTGTGACCCAGAGGTGCTAATTGCAGTACACCTGCCACACTGTAAAGGAAGACCACGCACTCGCATGCACATAGTGTTCGTTCACAGCCGGGCGTGTTCTGAACCCGGGGAAGTTATCCTCGGGGCAGCCCCATGTGGTAGGCAGTGTCATCCCCGCTGAGGAAGCTCGGGTGGAGGGAGGGTAGGGCACTTTCCCACAACCACACGGTCGGAAGGAGAGGGATGTGCTTGGAGCTCGGCAGGCTCCGGTGTCCAGTGGCCAAACAGGCCAGTCCTTTCCTAACTGTGGGCTCTGCTGGGAGATTGAGGATCATGTTCACAGTGCTTTGCAGCCCTCATAGTAAAGCCCAAGGGCCTTTGTGGTGCAGTTTATCATTTTATGCTGCAGAATGTGTCTTTCTGTTTCCTGATCAGATGTTTGTTCCAGAAATTAGAAAGGTCTGCTGTTTTCATGGTCAGGCGGTAGGCTTTTATTAGTTAACAACGGGGAAAAAGGGAAAGGCAGCCCAGAGAAGCTCACCTTCAGTGTAGAAAGGGAAAGAGCAGGAAGTGGCAGCAAACACAGCGGGACGTGTGACTATGTCAGTTACGCCAATTCCAGAACACAGGCTTCAGTAGGTTCACAGCTGTGAGTACCTGAAACACAAAGTTTCTTCTTGCGTTGTTATTTATTAATCATTGTCCTGGTTTGCAATGACACCTGGAAACCTACTGTTGCCACACCCTGTGCTTAAGTTTCCTTGCCAGTCTGGGTTAATCCTACATTGGTTGGTAGAGATTATACCTGTAATGTATTGAATTTTTAAAAAAGAAAGAACCACTAGATGTCTTCACCCACCTACACCACTAACCAGCCATATAGCAAGACCACAAAAATTAAAAACAAACAAACCACAAAACTGCACTGCAATTAGCCCCTTTCCTCCTCAATGTTCTTCCCTGCCAGCTCAGGGCAAAGGTGAAAACCGCATTCGCTGAGAAGGAGAAAATGCTTCAAGGGCCCCTCCGATAACGCAGAGGGTGAATTTGAAGCCAAGAGGCAGTAAACTGATAACTGGCTCATCTCCTATGCAAACTGTTCAATCATAAAGTAATGGCTGCGTTTCCCTGAGAGCCTGTTCGGACTCCAAGGAGGGGATTGCATGGTTTCCCTTTGCTACCTGCTATTCTGCTAAGCAGTAAGTTGCGGTAACAGTGTTCTGGTGTCCACCCAGTCCGTAGCTCCGGGTCAAGTACATCTGATTCTGAGACACGCGTGGGCACACCTGCATATGCAGACTGCTGGACTGGATGTACCAGGGTTTTATTTTCAGACATGCACATCACTGAAATTGATTTAAAGTTTTATATACGTTACTGTTTTATCCAGTTTTCATATTAATCTCATAGTAAACTAATCAAGTGACTATATCTTTTATATTCACTGCATATATATATATACATACATATGTATATATATATGTATGTATGTATATATAAATATATTTAACCCTCATCCGAGGGCATTTTTCACTGATTTTAGAGAGGGAGGGTAGGCAGAGTGTGAGGGAGAGAACTATGGAGTGGTTTTGAAACCTGGCTATGTACCCGGACTGGGAATTGAACCTGCAACCTTTCTATCTATGGAATGGCATTCCGACCAAATGAACCACACCGGACAGGGCCTCGCTGCAAATATTTTGCAAAAAGAATTTTTACTCTGAATGTTTCCCAAAATTCACCTGTCAAACTTTGTGACTATTATCTTTTGTGTTTGTGAAGGGAAGATATTTGGGACAATATAACTTTTCTTGAGTAGTGATTATTTAACTCATGCTTTTTATCTCCTCTAGAGTAAATCCTATTAGTTCATATATTTTTTTTCCTTTCTGGAATTTTAAAAAACCATCCTATCTTTCTTGGAAATTATACATTATTTTGTGAATTTGGAACTTTTTCTTTTTTTTTTTTTTTACTTAATAGCATCTACATTTTAGTCTTTTCAAAGAATCTGCTTGTACCTTGGTTAATCTTCTCCATATCTTTTAGTTTTCTCTTTCCCAGTTTGTGAGTTACATATAATTTACTTTCTCCTACTTTGTTTCATTTAGTGCCTTCCTCCTCTGCCCCTCACCCTCCTTCCCTTTGCCTTGTCTCCTGAGGTTGGCTCAGTACTCTAATATGTTTATTCAGGACCCCGCCCTTTAGGTGCTGCTGTGGGTGCATATCCCACTGACCCTGCTCTTACGGTGCTTTGAGAGTCATTTGGTTTCAAACATTTCGCCTATATGCTTTCTCTCTTATTTATTTTATTTTTTAAAGTGTAATATTCTGATTTAGCTGCATTTGTCTGCGATTACAGGCTGTTCAGTGAAGACTCTGGAGATTCAATTTCACGGCGGCCCCATGCATGTCTTGAGAATGTGTGTGCTCCACCGGTTGGCTGCGGAGCTCTCCGTGCACACTTGCCAGACCCAGCCTTTTAACTGAGTTAGTCAAGTCCATATCCTTACATTATTTTGCTTCTGTCATCTTGTTTCTTAGAAAAATATTTAAATCTTCTGATTATGACTATCGATTTAGCCATTTCTTCTCTGATTCATTAAATTTCTCCTTTACTTAAGCTATGATACAGAGGTCATGGAAGGCCATGATTATTATATCTTCTTGATGAATTGTTCCTTTTATTATTATTTGATACTTCTCATAGCATCTGCTTATGAGTTTTCTGCCTTAAAATCCACTTTGCCTGTTATTTAAGATCGTTAGGTTAATTTTTGCCTCATCAATCTCTTTTTTCATTGTTTTGTTTTTGATTTTTAAGCAATTTTGTTTAAAGTTAGTCACTTGTAAGCATCATTTAATGAAATATTTTTATTTTTTCTCGACATATAGTTATAGACTTTACCATGCATATTTGGAGTCTTTAGCAAACCAACTTTTCATTCCTACTCACAAAAAAGTCTTGAAATATAGTCAGTTCTGCCATAATGCAACGTACCTTAAAAATCTCTACCCTGTGCAAAATTGTGGATTAAGAACTATAAAGGTTATGAAAAACATGAGATTAGAGAACAATATGCGGAAACTTTATTGGTCATGCACAAAATATACTCACCTAATAAAAAAAGCGCCTCATAAAATTTCACACATGGCCCTCTGCCTACACACCCGGCAAGGAGGGCAGTGCCTGGCTGAGGCCTTCTGGCGGGGCCCCAGGACGGCGATGGCACCTCCCTTCATTGCACGTCCATTATCCTATTGGAACTCCTGATTCTAATACTGATTAATTCTCAGCGATACTTTATTGGGCATATGTAGACATTTGGGGTTTTTACTCTCCTTTATATCTTTTTAAAGACTTGATTTATTTATTTTTAGAGAAATGGAGGGAGGAAGAGGGAGAGGTATATCAATGTGTGGTTGCCTCTCATGCACCCTTCACTGGGGCCCTGGCTGGGAACTGAACCGGTGACCTTTGGCTTGCAGGCTGCTGCTTAATCCACTGAGCCACATCAGCCAGGCCTTTCCTTTAAATTTTTAATGGATATTACAAAGAATGAGTGGTGAGTGGGATAGTTAATGTATAAATCCAAGGAATCTAGAGTCAGGATTATTGACAGTTTGGACTACAACTGGATGAGAGAGGGAGGAGCTATCGAATATAATTGCTGTTCCTGTAATACAGGTTTAATTGCCATGGGAAACGTCAACTCATTCCAAAGTAGAGCTTTCCTAGGCTTTGGCATGGGTTTGGGGCTGACCTAGGAACTTAAAAGAAAGAAATAGGAAGATGCTCATTGTGCTTCCCTCTCTCCTGTTCCAGCTACGTCCCATGGAACCTCCACGAGCCACAGCGGGGCACGTTTGACTTCTCTGGGAACCTGGACCTGGAGTACGTGCTGCTGCTGCTGCTGCTGCTGCTGTGACCTGCCCAGGGCCCGAGAGGCAGTTCGGGGCTGGCTGGGGTTCATTAGGGACCCTGGTGGCCTCTCAGCTCTGCTCGGAGAACCAGACTGACACGGGGGTCAGAGCCTTGTGCTCTGGACACTGACGGGCTCCGCACCCAGGACCCGATGCTCCCCAGCTGTGCTGATTCCCCCGGGTGTCCGGGCCCACCTCCTCCGAGCCCCTGCTGCTCACTGCAGCCTAGAGGTGCCTGGTCCCCTGTCAGCCCTGCTGTGCCATGGGCTCCAGCCCCCTGTGCTGGGGCAGGGATTGTCCCTGGAGGGCAGCAAGGCCACTGGGGTCAGTTCATTGTTAGGACCCTTGTCCCCTGTGTGACACCTTCCTCCTCATGACCCGGTGGGCTGTGCAGACGGTTCTAGGCTGAGAGCCAGTGAGAAACCAGCTGCCAGGGCCTGTGGCCTTGACCACCAGCGTGGGGTTCCCTGCTGTGCTGGGGGCAGGGCCTTGGCTTTCCCTTGTCTTACCCCATCTGTGTTTCGGAGGAGAAGGCAGGCGTGAGTGCTGGGCTGGTCCCCACCCTCTGTAGGGGTGTCCTGAGAGTGTCTGACCTTGACCTTCCCAGGGCCTTTGTCCTGATGGCTGCTGAGATTGGGCTGTGGGTGATTCTGCGTCCAGGCCCCTACATCTGCAGTGAGATAGACCTCGGCGGCTTGCCCAGGTGAGCATGGTTGAGTGGGCGGTTGTGGTTGTGGTAAAGTCGTTCTTCTTACTAAAAGTCAAGCTTAAATCTAACAGTGCCAGGCACGTATTCTGTGTCTTGCACTGTTGTATATGTGTCATGTGGCATCTCAGGGGATGCTCACAGTAACGTGGTGAGTCATGGTTCTCCTGCAGTGCTCCTGTGAGAGATGAGGGACTTGATAGCTCCGTCTGGTGCTGTTGGCATGGCCGAGCATGGGTGGTGAGGGCAGCATCAGGAGGGTAGCATTCTTCTCTTTTCGTGGGAAGGAACCGTCTCCCATGTCCATTCTCCTGTTGGGAAGGAAGGAAGCAGAGCTTTAGCGAGTGGAAGGGAGGACTCTGACAGCTTCTGGACTTGGTCTGGGGACCTCTGGCTTTTCTCTTACTTTGTCAATGGAAGACAGTATTCTCCCCTGAGCTGACAAACCACTGCTCCCCTCCATTCCCTCTCATGTTTCTTCGCCTTCTTCTCTTACCTGTGACTCTGGCCTTTAACCAAGACAACTGAGGTTCAGGGTGAGAGTCACAGAATGCTCCCCTGCTGACTCTGCAAGCTGACAGGGCTCTCTACTTAGTCCATGGCTTTGTCTGAGGTGAACATTTTGCCCTCCTTGCTCGGGGAAGAGGGTTGCTTTCTCTAGGAAGGTCTTGTGCTCCCATCCCAGCTCGGCAGTGGGAAAAGCCTGACCTTGAAGGAAGTGGATATCCTAGCAGAGCAGTGATCCCCCCGAGGGTCAGTGGAGGCCCAGCCCTGCACAGGTGCCCTGGGGGTGTGCACATTGGCTGTGCTGGCTAATACCTGTGCTGGAGTCATGTATTAGAAGTGATGTAGCCCTGTGCCCTAACGGACATACACGGTGCTCAGGACAAAGGCCTAATGAATGGACAAAGAGTAGAGGTGTGTGGTCAGTGAAAGTATTCCTAGCATCTCATGAAGATGTGGGTGTATGAGCCACAGTGGAGTTGGGAGCACCTCCTAAATTGTAGTGTCGCTAGACACTTGTACCTCCGACAATGCTGTAAGAGGCTCCAAAGAGCGTTCTTTCAGGACCTGGGAGTCTGCCCGACTGTGGGCACCAGGTCCAAGGGTGCAAGGCCGCGCTGCAGGGAGCTGACAAGCAGCGAGCTGTCCTGCGTGCCTGGCCCTGACTCAGCCTGCCTCCCATCTTCCGGTCTTCCCACCTCCAACGCTGGCCTCCTCTCCTCTCACCCCAGCTGGCTACTGCAGGACCCCAAGCTGAAGCTGAGAACAACCCACCACGGCTTTGTGAAAGCAGTCGATAAATATTTTGACCATCTGATTGCCAGAGTGGTTCCTCTGCAGGTAAAGCCCAAGTACCTTTTTCTTCTTTCTTATATTTACTTTAGGAAAATCCCTTGTTCTGACTTGTTCCCAGAAGAGGCCGGGCCCAGCCTCTATGAGCGTTGAAGCAGACACTCTTGCCATTTTGAACTCTAGGACCTCATCCCAAGTTCAGCTGTTGCCCAGGGAGTCTGGAAAGACACACACCACAGCAGACTGGACTGACAGAAAGCAAGGGCATGTGGTTGCCATTGTTTCCAATGTACCTGACGTTCGCTAGACTCACTGATCTTTATTCCACTTATTTCTACTCTTAAATGGTCTTTGCTATTTTGAACAATTAATACCCACACTTGGTGAGAAAGCTTGAAAAAGTACAAAGGAGTTTATGGTAAATACCAGTCTCCCCTTCTACCCTATCCCCAAACTTTCAGCTACCATTTCAGGAGACAACCAATTTCACCAAACTTTTGTGTGTCTTTCCAGAGATTTTCTACGCACATGGAAGCGAGTTATTTATACGCACACTCATACATGTGCATGTGTGTATGTGTACTGTTTATTCAAAAATTTATAATTCTTACTGGACATTTTTCTTTTGTCACTTGAAAATATAGTTTTGAAACTTGCAATTCCTTTTTTCTAAGGTTTCTTTTAAAAAAGACTTTATTTTTTTTTTAGAGAGGGGAAGGGAAGGAGCGAAAGAGAGGGAGAGAAACATCAGTGTTGATTGCCTCTCACTTACCTTCTACTGGGGACCTGGCCTGCAACCCCAGCATGTGCCCTAACAGAGAATCAAACCTGTAACCCTTTGGTTCATAGGCCAGCATTCAGTCCATTGAGCCACACTAGCCACAGCCAATTCTTTATTTTTTAAGTCTTCACTAGAGTATTTTCTTATTGATTTTAGAGAGAGAGAGAGAGAGAGGGAGGGAGGGGGAGAGGGAGGAGAGGGAGAAACATCATGCCTCTTACATGTTCCCTGACTGGAGATTGAATCCGTGACCTTCAGTTTATGGGATGATGTTCCAACCAATTAAGCCACACTGGCCAGGGCTAAACCTGCTGTTCTTTTTAATGACTGCAAGGTATTTCATGATACAAATATATCAAAATTCATTTAACTAATTTCCTTGTCATTGGCATCTAATTTTGCAAGTTTTTGTTATAATGAATAACTTGGATCATGTGCATCATTTCCATACCAGGGTGGGTACGTGGGTTATGACTTGCACTCTGGTTCATTTGAGTTTCATAAATGCAAAGAGCTCAGGTACCATGCATTCTCCTTCCTCCACGGAGTGCCCAGCCATTGTGTACTTGACAGAAAATGCCTTTGTTTTCACAGTGTCCACCTGGAGCTCATAGACCAGTCTGTGACAGAAAAGACCAAACAGCGTTATGCCCTGTAGGCTGCAAGGCAGCAATTGTTTGATCATTATGCTTGGTTTTAAGCATAAAACTCTTATTCACACAACAGGAGGCGCATGGTTATTATTTAAAAATAAATGTTATAATAAGACCACCTCTTGATATAGCTGGAGACAGCATAAAAACCGGGATTACTAGGTAGTAGACTAACAGCAATTAGTTAGGTGAGAGAAGCACAGACATGGTCCCACCCCACCGGGCTGCTACCCCACGTGAGAGACGAAGGAGCCCTTGCGACGTGAGTGGTAATTGCTATAGTGTAGGAAGTGCAGGAGAAGGGAGGCCAAGAGCAGGTGTTTCGGAAACTCAACAGTGACCGGAAGGGTGAACAGACATTAGCCAGGCCAGGGGTGTGGTCAGGAGTCTCCCATGTGGGTGAAGACCCGATGACCAGAGGTGGAATGAGGAGTTTGAAGAACTACAAGAATGGCTCTGTCCTGTCGGGTGTGGCTCAGTTGGCTGAGCATTGGCCCATGAACCAACAAGTCGCTGGTTCAATAATTCCCAGTCAGGGCATATGCCTGGGTTGTGGGTTTGGTTTACCGTTGGGGCACTCGCAGGAGGCAACCAATTAATATTTCTCTCTTGCACTGATATTTCTCTCCCTCTCTTTCTCCCTCCCTTACCCTCTCTTTGAAAAAATAAATAAATACATAAATATTTTAAAAATAGAGAACTAAAAAAGTCCAGCTGGTGTGGAACATAGAGAGGTGGGAAAGAGGTAAACAATGAGGCTGTTGGGGAAGCCAGCCAAACGTGCTCCTGCTCCCTGTTCCAGCCTAAGAGCTCGCACTTGCTGGCTGTCCTGAAGGGGGCCCCTCACTCTGAACAGACTCCCTTGGGAGCAGTAGAAGCCATGGGGGGAGTAGGGTGATCGGCCGCCCACCACACAGAGCTCACTCTGCTATCGGTGTGGAGAGGCTCCCAGAAGCAGAGAGTTGACTTGACTGTGTGGAGTGAAAGGTGTAGTAATTTCAGCATGATGGTGTCAGCGTTGGTGGCTGAGGTTGTGTGAGGGGTGGAAGCTGTACCACAGGGGTTGGAGGAGCAGGATACAGTGAGGAAGGGTGGCCAGTGGGGGCCCCGTTCAAGCAGCAGGGCTCGAAAGAGAAGGAAGCACACCTGAAAGTAATGTTGTATTGAATGTCAACTGAGTGGAAAACATAAAAATAAATTAGCAATAAAAATCTAAAAAAGTGGGAAAGGGTGGGAGAGAGCAAGAGAAAGGCAGAGAGAAGGATCTGGAGCGCACTCTCTTCTGCAAGTTTCCAGGAAGCAGAAGAAGGGCAGTTTGGGAAGAAAGGTTGACGGTACAGGAGGGAGAGGAAGCAGTGCAGAGAACTAGCTGCTGAGCTGGCAGTGGGGAGGCAGGGCCTCCCCACTTGGGTGGTGGGTGGCATTGCCCTGTGACAGGAGGAAGGAGGAGGGAAGCCATTTCTTTGCTGGGTGGGAAAGTTGATAAGCTGGGTGTGGAAGCAGGTGAGTTGGTAGGTATGAACTCTCTTTTAAGTAGCTAGTTAGTATGAGAAGTAAAAGAGGAACCGTGGGCATCATTACAAAGACTAGGGAGCACAGGACTCCTAGAAGCAGGTACTGTCCCTGGAGGGGACTCTGACTACAGCAGCAGGGAGGGGAGGGAGAGCTTTCAGATAAGGATGTAGCTTGGAGCAAAGTGTCCCCCACCCCAGGTGTGCTTTCTTGAGCAGCAGACCCAGAGGCCCAAGGTTTTTCCAACGGCAGCCTCACTCTTGCCCTTTTTCTGCTTGTCTCAGTACCGCCAGGGAGGCCCCATCATTGCAGTGCAGGTGGAGAATGAGTACGGTTCGTTTGATGAGGATGAACAGTACATGCCTTACCTTCAAAAGGTGAGAAACACTCGGTCTGCCTCCATGTTTATGTGCTTTCATCCTTGACCTGCCTCTCTTGCAGCATCTGAGTCTGCCATGGGACTCTGTTAGGTTCTGTGCGTTATGCCACTATATGAGATCAAGTTCAACTTCTCTGAATGTACACTATGGTCAGAGTGGTTAAGGTGCACTGGAGTTACTCTATTCTGTGGTAAAATATGATGTTAAAAGATTATTCCTGCCTGCTGCTTTTTCTAGGACCCATAGTGCTCTCAAAAGCTGGGGGTTGGTGAATAGGAGATAATGTCTGTGAACTCAATGATGACAACTGTCACCTGGCAGCTCTCTGACCTTTAGTATCGGGCTGACCAAAAAGGTCTTTTGGTTTTTCCCATACGGTGTCTCTAGTAAGCACTTAGTTGTCTTTGACTTCATTTGAAACAATTTTCTTAGGTTGTATGACAGCTGTCATATCAGCATGCATTTAATAATTATCAAAATTGGCAAATTCTGTGTATCCATTTTAATATTGAAGGTGGAAGAAAATACACAACACATTTGGAGTATTATGCTTTATTATTTTGAGAAAGGTAAAAATGCAGCTGAAATGCAAAAAAAAAACATTTGTGCAGTATATGGAGAAGGTGCTGTGACTGAGTGAATGTGTCAAAAGTGGTTTGTGAGTTTCATGAAGAAAATTTCTTGCTGGATGATGCTCCATAGTTGGGTAGACCAATTGAAGTTGATAACAATCAAACTGAGACATTAATTGGGAATAATCAACCTCATACTATGTGGGAGATAGATGACAACCTCAAAATATTCAAATCAATAAAGTCATTGGTGAAAATGAAAAACGTGTCTTTGATCTTATGGACAAAACCATATATACTTTTTGGCCAGCCCAATACTAATACTCTGTTGCCCTAGCTCCTTCATGGGGGCATGTCTCAGGCCAGGGAATAGCTGCAGTCCTGCTGGGTGTCCTTGTTGGTGGGCTAGCCTCCTTCTTGTCTGTGACTTGCCACATTCTGGAGGCTGAGGATTTCTAGTCTAAACTGGATCCCTCCTCAGGCTGCTAAGCAGAAGGCAGGGTCCCATGTTAGCCTTGTCCACGCAGAAACCTCTGGGCGGGATGGCCTGGAAAGCCATGGAGGGGAGTGGCCAGCTGGGCAGGGAAGAGATCAGGTGACAGAGAGAGAAGAGGCACTCCCCTGGTGGCTTTTGGAGCTGGACAAGGTCACTGAGAAACTGCCCTCCCTGACGTTTCTCGGGTGCATCACACCACCTCACATCAGTCTCATTCAGTCAGCCTTAGTCTTCTTTGATTTTTAAAATTTGCCATTCAAGTCCACTCCCAGCCCCAGATAGGGCTCGGTGAACATATAAGACACACAGAGAGGGTCCTCTTGCCCTCTGGTCATCAGTCTGCTTCTTACACTCTTAGTAAACCTGATTTTTTAATTAGATCCTCCTCTTCCCCAAAGCCATGGCAGGCTCCCTGCTGCCTGTGAGTGTGTAGGTAGGACCCAAGTTTAAAGTCTCTCTCTGACATTCCTTAGGGCTCCGTAACCTCAGCCTCTCCCCTTCAAGCACAGAGAGTTTCTCCCAAGTCTTCTCTTTTCCTCTGGGATTCAGACCCTCTCTCAGGGTATTTCCTCCTAAAAGCAGCTTCATGCTTTTCCCCTGGGGGCTGTGACCATGGGGTGTCAGCCTATTCAGCTGCTTCTGTGGTCATTAGGTTGTCATTGGGAGAAATACCTGGCAGGGACGGAGCTGCAGATGGTCAGCCTCTCCATTCGAACCTTTTTCTCTAGTTTGCATGCCGTCCGTCTTAGCCCAGTTGTATTTATTTCCTAACTTCTTTCTTCCCAAAGGAGAAAGAAAAGTGGGTTCATTTTATCTAGTTTTCTCAACAGGCCCTGCTGAAAAGAGGGATAGTGGAGATGCTCTTGACCTCAGATGGTGAGGATGAAGTGCTGAAAGGCCGCATAGAAGGAGGTACAAATTTAGGCTTATTTTATGGGAGAACTGAGGCTCTTAACCCACCAGTTTGAATCTTGAACAAGCATCAAGAGAACCAATACCATCTCCGCTGCCTCTTTTTCATGTGCATTGAAATGGGCCCTGGAGAGCTGATGTCACTATGGGAACTCAAGGTCAAAGTGAAGAGTTCACTTGGTAACCCCATCACTTTTCCTTGTTCCTGTTGTTCTTCAATGGCAGAGCTGTAAGGGAGCTCCTCTGTGCCTGGTCCACCTTTCCATCTTCCATCAATTTTCTGTGGCTGAGAATCTGTGTTGGTGCTGGGCATGGCTCGGAGTGAAAGCCGTTTCCCCAGCATCCAGCATCCCATGGAGAAGCAGAAGATGGGTGTAGTGTCCAGGAGCCAGGCTCCACATAGGGCAGTCCTGGGGTCCTGCTGCCCGAGGTGCACAGTGGACTCTGAGTAGGTCCTCAAAAACCTAGTAATGAAACCATTCATAACAAAAACCACAAAATGATGATAGTGAGGGAAATGAACCAGGCAGGCACTGCCAGCTGGTTCCAGAGACACATCTTTTAGGCAGGCCTTCACTCCAGACTGGCTGCTTCTGTAGGCGGCTGTTGTCTCCTCCTTTTTGGTGGCTTCTCCTCACACTGTCATGATACAGTGGAAGACGCATGAGACCTGGGATCAGGAAACCTGCATTCAATTCCTGCATTTAATCAAATTGTGTGACCTTGGCCTGTTCCATTTCTTAGCACAAAATATGGTTAATTTTAGCTGCCCTTCTTCCTTAATGTTGTCCTTGCAAATGTCCAGTCATGTGAGGACCTATATAACAGCCCTGTGTATGTTGCAGTAAGTGGTATCTTTACTACTGAACGCAAGTTCCTTTTGTGGGCAAGGGGTGGGCCTCTATCCTGCTCCTGGTAGGGCTTGTCACAGGGTCTGCTTCTGCATCTCTCCCTTCTTTCTACAGTGCTGGCCACCATCAATATAAACTCGTTCAGGAAGGATGCTTTTGAGAGCCTCTCTAACGTGCAGGTAAGGACATCCAAGAGGTGAAGAGTCTTAACCCCTGTGCCTGCCATGACCCCCTCCTTGGCCTGCGCAGCAGGGGTTCGGCGAAAAGAGCAGGCTCGCCGCAAGACCACAACTCTCCTCCTGGGGCCTCAGCTGTGTGCTGGAGCAGTTTGGGGAGTCTATGTCTTTTGTCCTGGGGAATAGGGACGAAACTCCACTCCTGTCATGTCTTAGTGGAGCACCCAATGGAGATGACCAGAGGAAGGGAGAGGGGTCATGTGAGGGGAACACAGGGAGGTGGCACACTTGTTCTTCTCTGAGGATGGAACTCAGACATGGGCCACACGTGTTGCTGACACAGGACCCACACCCAGCTTTGGAGGGTCAAGCTTTTTTAGCCAGGCTGTGCAAACTATGAGAACAAACAACTGCCTGGCACACGAATTCATTTAACACACATGGATTGATTGTGTCCCAGTTTCCTCCCAACCCGTGACCCTGAGATAGTTACAAAGGTGGATCGTCCATGCCTTCAGGGCTCACGTCCTCTCCACAGAGCAGCTGGATTGCGCTCTGACAGACCAAATGTGCCTATTGCGTCTTCTGCTCAGCACACGTTGCTGGGTTTCCTTTGTGGCTAGGATGATATCCCAAGCCTGTATCGTGGCCTGTGTGCCCCACGCAGTCCTCATCCAGCTTCAGCCGGTGCTGCTCCTCTCCCCACACAGGGAGGCCCTCCTCGAGCCCTGCGAAGCGTGGTTCTTTCGCTCGGCCAGAGCCTCCCACAGTGCTCCACCCTTTACCAATTTTAATTAAAGAGCCAATTCATCTTATTTTTTTGTCTCACTGATTTCTACAGAGTTTCTGACCCTGTAGAAAGACAGGACTCAGCCAGGGGTGGATCCATAGTTCTCTCTAGTTTTAATGCCTTGAATAAGTCTCTTTTGTTGTTTCTTTTTTTCCTGTCACTTTTTAAAACAGCTTCATTGAAACACAATTTATATACCACATAACTCACCCACTGTGAGCATATAATTCAATGCATAGAGTTTTAGGATCACCGCCACCATCTGCAAAGCTTTCCTGACTGCTATGTGCTCATCAGCAGTGAATACCCCTCCCTCCCAGCCCCAGCCCTACACGACCCCTGATCTGCTTCCTCTCTCTACAGCTGGCCTTTCTGGACGTTTCATCCACATAGACCGAGTCATATACCCGCTAGTCTTTCGTGCCTATCTGTCTTCCTTCATGCAGCCTGGTGGCTTTGAAGTTCACTTCTAACACAGCACAAATGAGCACTTTTGTCCTCCTGAGAGTGGGTGCCTCTTGCTGTCATTGTCATCCATCTCAAGTTAGAGCCAAACCCAAGGGCCATGATGCCTTTCTCATGGTCCTCCTCCTTTGCTGTGCTCAGATCCTTAATAGTGCTTTCAAGTGCTGACCCAGTCTTGCAATCCTAGAATGAATCCTACTTGATTGTGATGTATTTTCATTTTGTACAGTGCCGGATGTACTTGGTTAATACTTTGTTGAGAATATTTGCTTCCAAGTTTATGAGGAATACTGACCTTTAGTTTTCTCTCCTGGAATGTTTTTTTTTAATTGCAGTTGACATTCAATATTATTTTAAATTAGTTTAAGTGTACAGCATGGTGGTTAGGCATTTATATAATTTATGAAGTGATCCTGTGAGAACTCTAGTACCATCTGGCCCCTTACATACTTATTACAATATTACAGCTGTATTCCTCACGATGTACTTTACATCCCTGTGACTTTTCTGTAACTGCCAGTTTGTACTTCTCTATCTTCCACCTTCTCCCCAGCCCCCTCATCAGTCTGTTTTCTGTGTCCGTGAGTCTGTTTCTATTTCATTTGTTTATTTTGTTCTTTAGATTCCACATATAAGTGAAATCATATAGTATTTGTCTTTCTGTGACTGATTTATTTCCTTAACACAATACTCCCTAGGTCCATGCTGACACAAATGGTGGGATTGCGTTCTCTTTTTAAGGCTGAGTAACATTCCATTGCATATGCTCTTGTATCCTCAGAAGTGGAATCGCCTGTTCATAAGGCATTTTAAAATTTTTGAGGAGCCTCCACACTGTTTTCCATAGTGGCAGGAAGAGTCTGTATTCCCAACAATAGTGCACTAGGGCTCCCCTTTCTCCACATCCTCGCCAGCACCTGTTGTTTGTTGATTTATTGATGACCGCTTTTCTGACAAGTGTGAGATGGTATCTCACTGTAGTTTTAATTTGAATTTCTCTGATTATTAATGACATTGAGCATCTTTTCATATGTTTATTGGTCATTTGTCCACTTTAGAGAAGTGTCTATTCTAGTCCTCTGTCCACTTTTTAATTGAGTACTGTTTTATTGGTGTTGAGTACTTTATAAATTTTGGATATTAATACCTTATTGGATGTATCATTGGTGAGTATCGTCTCCCACTCAGTCAGCTGTCTTTTCATTTTGTTGATGGTTTCCCTTGTTGTGCAAAAACTTTTTAATTTGATATAGTCCCATTTACTTATTTTTTGTTGTGTTTCTTTTGCCCTAGGAGAAATGTTAAAATGTTGCTAAGAGAAATGTCAGAGGTTTTACTGCCTATGTTTTCTCCTAGGAGTTTTATGGTTTCAAGTCTGACATTAAAGTCTTTTCATTTTGCATTTATTCTTGTATATGGTATAAGAAGGTTGCCTAATTTTATTTTTTGCATGTATCTGTCCACTTTTCACAGCACCATCTATTAAATGGACTGACTTTACACTATTGTATGTCCTTGCTTTCTTTGTCAAAGATTAATTGACCCTATGAGTGCAAATTTATTGCTGGGTTTTCTATTCTGTTCCATTAATCTATGTGTGTATTTTTATGCCAGTACCATGCTGTTTTGATTACTATGGCCACATAGTATAGTTTGTTACCAAATAGTGAGATATTCCTACTTTGTTCTTTTTTTTCAAGATTGTTCTTACATTCCAGGTTTTTTTGTGGTTACATACAAATTTCTGAATTATTTGTTCTAGTTCTGTGAAAAATAAAGTTAGTATTTTTATAGGGATTGTGTCAAATGTATTGATTTCTTTGGGTAGTATAGAACATTAATATCACCTTAATGATATTAATTCTTTCCTATCCATGAGCATGGCATATGCTTCTATTTATTAGTATCTTCTTTTATATCTTATAGTTTTCTGAGTACAAATCTTTTACCTCCTTGGTTAAATTTATTCCTTGGTATTTTGTTTCTTTTGATGTAATTGTAAATGGGAATTTTTTCTTAGGGTTTTGTTCTGAAAGCTCTTTATTGGTATATAAAAAGGCAACAATTTATTTTGTATTCAGCTACTTTACTAAATTTATTTATCAATTCTAGTAGTTTCTGGTGGAATCTTCAGGTTTTTCTATATACAACATCATTTCATTGGCAAATGATGACAGTTTTACATCTTCCTTTTCAGTTCAGATGCCTTATTTCTTCTTGTCTGATTGATGTGGCTAGGACTTTCAGTACTATATTGAATAAGAGAGGTGAAAGTGGACATCCCTGAGTTGTTCCTGATCTTAAAATAAATATTTTTAGTTTTTCCAAGTTGAGTGTGATGTTGGCTGTGGGTTCGTCATACAAGGCCTTCATTATGTTTAGATGTGGTCCCTCTGTTCCCACTTTGCCAAGAGTTTTTCTCATAAATTGGTGCTGGATTTTGTCAAATGCTTTTTTCTGCATTTATTGATATGATCCCATGGTTTTTATTCTTCATTTTGTCTATGGAGTAGTCACATTAATTGATTTGCATACATTGTACCAACCTTGCATTCCAGGAATAAATCCCACTTGGTCATGGTGTATGATCTTTTTAATGTATTACTGAATCCAGTTTGATAATATTTTGTTGAGAATTTTTGCATCTATGTTCATCAGAGATATTGGCCTGTAATATTTTTCTTTGTTATATCTTTATCTGGTTTTAGAATCAGGGTAATACATATAATTACTTTGTATTATAAGTATTTATAAGGCCCTAAGTATAATTACTTAGTATTATTAGTATTACTTAGTATTTACAAGGCCCCAAGTATAATAGCAATTATACTGGGGCCTTATAAAATGGGTTTGGGGTTGGTAGGATTGAAGACTGGTGGTACAACCATTGTGGAAAACAGTATGGAATTTTCTTCAAAACCTAAAAATGAACCTGCCTTTTGATCTGGCAATTCCACTGCTGGGATTATATCCTAAGAACCCTAAAACACCTATGCACCCCAATGTTCATAGCAGCACAATTTACAATAGCCAAGAGCTGGAAACAACCTAGGTGCCTGTCAGTAAATGAATGGATCAAAAAAATATGGTACACATATACAATGGAATTCTATGCAGCAGAAAGAAAGAAGGAGCTCCTACCCTTTGCAACATATGGATGGAACTGGAAAGCATTATGCTGAGTGAAATAGGCCAGGTGCTGAAAGACAAATACCATATGATCTCACCTTTAACAGGAAGATAAATAACAAAACAAACAAGCAAGCAAAATAAAAACAAAGACATGGAAATAGAGAACAAGGGGACAATGACCAGAGGGGAGAGGGGAGGGAATTTCAGGGGGAAAAGGGGAAGAATTTACAGGAACTAGTATAAAGGACACATGGACAACAACTAAGGGGGGTGGAAATGGGAGGGAGGTGGGGAGCACTGGGGGGGTGGGCTGGGATGGGAGTAAAAAACAGAAAACTGTACTTGAACAATAATTAAATAAATTTAAAATAATAATAATAAATGGGCTTGGTAATCTTCCCAGTTCTTGATTTTCAGAATTGTTTGAGAAAAACAGGTATTAGTTCTCCTTTGAATATTTGAGGAAATCCCACTGTGATGCCATCCAGCCCTGGACTTCTGTTTGTTGGGGTTTTTTTTAATTACTGTTCGGTTTTGTTTGTAATCGGTATTTTCATATTTTCCATTTCTTCTTGTTTTCATTTTGGAAGACTGTGTGTTTTTAAGAAATTGTCTT